ATAACTTCGGCAATATGTCTAGGCATACGCTGCTATCGCTACTGTGCACACAGTAATATCGCAATTGCATACCCCGTATGCATGCAGTAATATCGCTACTATGTACTTTATATGCATGCACTCCATATATATAGTATTGATGTCGCTACTATGCAAAGCATTGATATTCAAGATATTCAAGATATTTGCTAAGAATGCCAAGGGTTTTGAAGCCCTAACCCTAATGTTCAGGACTTTCGGTGGCAACCTCCGTAGTCCCCCACGGAATTTGACGAATATAAGCTAAAATAGCCGCAGAATAAAACTGGATGCCCGGGTGGCACAATGTAAATTGCCCTTTCTAGTTTCTTCTGATGTCGGTACTAACAATTTCAGTGGCTAGCGCGTGAGACTTTTACCACAGCGTACAATCTCAAGGTTGAGGGTTCGAGCCCCTCCTCGGGCGACAAATTTTTTTGTATTTTTGATGCTTCATTCCCGTTCCGCATGGCTTTGAACGTCTGTTTTTGATGAATGAGGGAGTGAGCACATTGTCATAGGTATGCGGCTATTTCCCTGCCACGCCGGTTATGCGCGTGGCCCCTTTGATTTAACCGGGATTCAGCAGGTGCACTGCCAGATCCATTTTTCCCCCTCCCTCCCTCTTGCGTCTACGAGCATATGACTACGGCGTGATCATGATAGGATCCAAGACTCGGCCGTAATATCCGTGCAAAGGCTCGCATGAGGTGACAAGGTCTTATTGGACCAATCTTGAGATCTCAACCCCATCTAGTAACCACTCCGCAGTAGGCTCCCGACAGTCACGGCGAGATGCAAAGACATGCCCTACAGGCGCTTTTCGATTTGGACACGCTCCTTCTGTTGGTTGAAGTCATCGGAGAGTCGCAGCAGCACACATCTCCACGGAGCCGTTGTCTAATATCACATTGGTTGGCACTTCCGGCCTACAAATGAGACGCTCAACAGAATGATCCCTATAATTGTCAACTTCTTTTAAAATAAAAGTCATATCTAAGAATCCCACTTCTATCTCCAACGTCTGGTTTGGTCAGGACCAATACTAGCGTTAAGCCCTGCATTCGCTTAATGGTGACTTGCAGAGGCCATGCAGATCTCTTAGCGCTGTCAACCCGACGCCGCGAACCCCAGATGATCGCGCCAAGGCCAGCTCCCCTCCCCTCGGCGCACAAACAGCACACACACGATAGTCATCTTTCTTTCTTTCTGACAGCGTATTGATTGACGACAACAACCTGGTTCATTTGCAGCTTTGCACGCTTGTTCAATCCCATGGCAACGATCACAATTCCTTCCCCGTCAGCTTTCCTTCGATCCCCCGGCAGCACACCTGCGCCCACGCACACGGCCAAGGTCTCCGTCAAGGCTTCTTCCAAAAAGAAGTCAGCGGTGGCAAAGCACAGTCGCAAGTCTGCAACGCACGCAAATGCTCATTCGAAGCCTAAACAAACAAAGAGTCGCGATGGCAAGTGTTCCAGCAGCACCGTGGTCTTATCTTAGCTGTACAGGTTCTCCAACCGCTAACAGTCGCCATAGGATGTAGGACCTGCAAGGAAAAACGGTTGAAGTGTGACGAAACCAAGCCCGTCTGCCAACAATGCGATAAGAAGGGTGTCCAGTGCGAGGGATATGAAAAGGTTCTGAAATGGCGCCCTCAAGAGGATACGTTCAGGACCAAGCCTACATCCCCAAGGCCAAGAAAGAGTAGGTTGTGCAGCTCCTTAGCATCGCGACAATGACTGACAACTTCAGAATCCGTCACCTCAACCAGCTCCCGCTCTCTCCTGCCTCCTGTCCCCTTTCTACCGCCAGAATCCTCCGGGTCACCCACCAGCAATGACTTCCCACCCGTCCTCCCCGACTATCCCACACCACCACAGTCGGCAGTCTCTCTCGTCTCCCAGCTTATGCATACATCGCATCCCGAGCCGCCCATCCTCCCTTTCCAAACTACACACGCTCACGAGGAGTTTTCTATGTTGCAAAACCGTCTGAAGACAGAGAACAGCTTTCCTAGCTCCACACCCAGTCTCATCAACGATGGCTTCGATGATGAAGTACCTCCTCAATCGGCAACGACAGCACCATCAACTATTTGGTCCGACAACTCTCCCAAGCTGGAGAATCTCTTACTACCTGGCACAGATCTCAACGCTAGGCCTTCTGACTACATGGACTACGAACCTACACACATATACCGACCCAGCGGCTTTCCGAGCACTCCCCGCTTACAGACCTATCCATCCTCAGGTTCAGAGGACGACGTGGAAGAGATCATGCGAGAGCCGGAGCCCCCAGATGCTTGGGCCATGGCATTCCCATCACCAGTATTCTCCGACTCCTCCTCCTCGTCCGACGGCTTCCGCTTCGACATGCTCTCTGCAGCCATCTACGGCCAGCCAAGACTACACCCTGACAGCGAAGAAATGCTCACGCTGCGCTTCGACACCCAAACGTGTGGCATACTTTCAATAAAGGATGGGCCGACCGAGAACCCATGGAGGATGAAGCTTTGGCCGATGGCGAGAGAGTCACCGGCGCTACGATATGCTATCAATGCCATGACAGCATTCCACGCGTCGAAGGAGAAGCCGTCTTTAAGAATCAGGGGTATGCAAGATTTTGGCCAGAGTCTCAAACTTTTGTCAGCTGAGATCCAAGATACACGTATAGACATTTCGCTCGCTACAACACTTGTCTTGGCGTTCGCTGAGTCCTGGGACCAGCTGATATCTACGGGAATTACGCATCTACGAGGAGCCAAAAAATTGGTCAGTGAGGCACTGATCAACCACAGACAGGGCTCAATGCACCCTGAAGCCGAGGCGCGGCTTAGTTTTTTATGTAGAACGTGGGTGTATATGGATGTCATCGCTCGCCTGACTTCTCTCGACGGTGATGAATCCGAAGACTTTGACACCGTTCTCAGCCCTCTGTGCGGACCATCAGCTCCCAATCAAGGCATTGATCCATTGATGGGCTGTGCCAGTACGCTATTTCCACTTATCGGTCGTGTTGCGAACCTCATCCGAAAAGTGCGCACGTCGGGGGAGAATTCTTTGCCAATGGTCTCTCAGGCCAGCGAACTAAAGGACTCCATCGAAAAGTGGGAAGCCCCGGTGATGTTTGAAGCACCAGAAGACCAGTCGACGGAGATCAAACACAGCCAACGAACGGCAGAAGCATACCGTTGGGCCACCCTTCTGTACCTTCACCAAGCGGTTCCGGAGATTTACTCTGGGTCAGTGACTGAACTAATAGCTGCGATGGCGAAAGAAGTCTTGAACCACCTCGCTAACGTCCCGCCCACTTCACGAGCGGTCATCATTCACATCTTTCCTCTCTTAGCCGCTAGCTGCGAGGTCATTGGTGCAGAAGACCGCAAATGGGTGGCAGATCGATGGGAGGCGATGATGGCACGTATGAATATACAGAACCTCGACAAATGCTGGATCGTCGTCAAGGAAGTCTGGGAGCGTCGCGACAACCGTGAACAAGAGCGGCGCCGACAACGACATCGAGCTGCTGCTGATCATTTGCTGACAGGTTATATGCCTACCAAATGTATGAAGAGGAAATCAAGCTCTGGGGATGATAACGTCCATGATGCCAACTCAAATGATGGGAGTACACGTAGAGTAACACAGAACACGAGGCCCTCACCGTCGAGCAGGTCAAGATCTGGCATGCTCCGCAAAGATTCGTCAGGTACCGCACCAGGAGGTCTCGATTACGAATTGACGGTCCGCGGGGACTTGCACTGGGCCGGTGTGATGAAGGATTGGAAGTGGGAAGGTGAGTTGTATAATCTGTGGTATTGCCTATGGATAGCTGACAGAATCCAGTCCTTCTCGGATAGGGACCCATAATGTGACACTCTCTTTTCTTTCTTGCTCTTTACTTCTCATATCCTTCGCATGTTGGTGTCATATCTTATGATTTGCTTGACTTTACAACGCTCTGCTGTAACGTTGTTCAGCGAACGACGATTTTGGTTGCTTTGACCTTCTCGCCGGGCTTCTGGATTTTCTCCATTCTTTATAGCAAGGCGCTCTGGCGAACGGATGGGCAATTCCGCGCTCCTCCAGGGGTTGTGCCGAAGGGTGTGGGATGCTGACTGGAGCTATAGACTACTTTCAGCTACCATTCATGTCAATCTACCTTTAAGTATGAATCAAACCTCAACGGGCCAATGTGGTCCCTCTTCCTTGATGTACTGTGGTATCTCAACCGAGCATCTAAAACCAATCGAGTCTAGTCAAGACTGAGCGGACAGGATAGTCTTGCTGAATAGAGGCTGCAGATGGAATTTTCCCAGAAGTGGGGAGACTGGCATAAAGGACCCCGCAAGAGTAATGTAATTATCGCCTTGTTCCCGAGGCTTGGCACGTCTTATCGATAAGCCTCGACCTTTCCATATGAGGAAATAATATCCCCCATCCAACTTTTTTGCGTCCTTCGCTAGCTATTCGTGAGCCTGATATGATTCTCCAATTGTATCGGTGGATGGTATCGCTATCTGCGAGTCATTGTTTCAGCTATGCCAGATGTCCTCCGACCATTGATCATGCACTGGCCCGCGGGAAAGCTCAAGACCCTGTTTCCTGGTGGCACCCACGCACTGTTCCTCATGCAGTCAACCATTCCCCTGGTGCACTGAAGCTCCTTCTCGAGAGAGCATTGGTCTTCTGTCGCTGTACAGCATCGACCGTCGTTTCTGGCAATCTTATCACCACACCACGTCCCATATCGTATCATTGGCATTGATTGATTCATTGACGCCGCAGCACACCATCTCAAGCACAAATAAGTACGCAATTGACCCCTCCCATCATCTCCACCCCCATCCAAGCCAAACCTCAACAGCCCAACCCTCAAACTTTACCTGTATAGATCAGCTAACATCAATGGGTTCCCTCCTCAGCACCGTCAAGCAAAAGACCTCTCCTTCCACAACCGAAAAGACCACAGCTTCCACCATGGCTTCCTCCACCCCCGAGACCTTCAAGCATTACGCCAACGCACAAACCGACTTCACAAAGACACTGCCCCTAATCGGGAACGAGAATGCGTTCTTGGGCGACATCTTCTCCTCGTACGTCTCTCCTTCCCATCCGCTACTCCCCACGACTTCTTTCATCTAGGAGTCCCCCTTCTCCCACCCATCATCAGAACCTCACTTGCTGACCCCACTCTCCCCTCACAGTGACCGCAAAGACAACCCCATCTCCTCCGGCTTCTACCGTCTCGACCCCGGCACCCCGCTCGTCTACACCTATACCTACGACGAGATGAAGATCATTGTGGACGGTGACTTTGAAATTTCGGATCAGAGCGGCCAGAGTGTCAAGGCGACGAAGGGCGATGTGTTCTTCTTTCCCAAGGGGAGTGTGATCACGTTCAAGACGGAGAAGGGGGGACTGGGGTTTTATTGCGGGCAGAGGGGGAAGGATACCGCTTAGGTTGGAGGTGAAGGGGGGAGGGGAATCTTGGAGGGAAGTCATATGGCAATGAAGTGTTTTTGGATGTTTGGCAGGGTACAAGAGCGATGCTGTTGGTACTGCTATCTAGCTTACACCAACACTAAAATCTGGTCAGAGGGCCCGTACCGAAAAGCTTGGGTAGCCGTTCAACGTTATAACCCCAACACTTGAAACTTGAATGGCTCCGGCCGTGACCCATGCTCGAGACGCTGGATATTGGAGTAGTCGAGTACCTTTGCATCGTTCGAATTCCCCGCAAGGCGCTAAGCGTAAGCCTCGTGCCTCCGTCGAATGAGAGCTGTATTTAGTTCATCAGCCTTCTAGGCGTCAATTGACAACGGAGAATATTTCAAGACGACGATTAGACGCCGTAGCCGAAAAGCGGCGTGCGTGCCTACCGAGAGAGAGAATCAACTCACTGTGGAGTACGGACCACAGCCTACTTACTCCTCTTAATCAATATACTTACAGTTCGAAGTTTAAGATAAATATCGAATTTTTTAATATACTTATAGAATTTCGATTTTACGTAAAAGTAAATAGATATTAACATCGCGTTAATAATTTAGCGCGAACTAAGATATTAATCTAGTTTCTACTTTCTTTTCTTTTTATTATTTCTATAATATTCTTTAAAGACTTATTATAGCGAATAATAGAATCTTATTAATATCTTATTCTACTTATTCTTATATACGTTTCTATTATTAACTATATTAACTATTAATTTAAAAGCTATTAATTTTATAATAAAATTAATAAATTATAAATTTAATATTATCTTTTATTTACTTTCTTATAATAAAATATTATTATTATATTTATTAAATAGAAAATAGTAATAAACGAGTTAAATAGCTTATAGAAATAAATTAATAAATTAATAAAATCTTAAAAAGAAAAGAGTAAATATTTAATAAGTATAAGAATATACTTTATTAATAATTAGCTAGCGAACGTAGATTATTAAAGACGTAAAGTCGATATAAATTTTAATAGTATATTAATAATATAAAGTAAATATATTATTAAATTAAACTTTAAAAGAGATTTTAATATTACTATATAGAATATCGACGTAATAATATATATATTATTAAAACTCTATAGTAGTATTAAATTAAATAAATATCTTTACTTCTAGATCTTAATTTCTAAATATTTAAATAAATAAAACGCTTATTAAAAAATCTTTAAACTCTAATAGAGATATAAGAGAAAGAAGTTAATTTATAATAACGTCGTTTTAATATCGTTAAAATAATAATAATACGCGTTATAGTCGCGTTACTAACGTATTATATAATAATATTTAAATTATTCTTAAGTCTTTATCGCTATTATAATATTAATTAATAGTAATTAATAATAAGATATAGCGCTTAATAATCGCGTTTTTATAATATTAATTTATAGTCTCTATAGTAAATAAATATCTAATTAGAAATCTTTAAATTAAATCTTTTATTATTATTACGATTTTAATTATCTTACTTATATTATAATCTAATTAAACTTAACGTATTAAGATCTTTTAATCTTTTTATTCTATTATAAAATCTATACTTATAACTATTCTATATAGATATTAAGATAATAAGTAAAGATATATAAATTAAATTTATAAAGTTAAATTTAATAGTCGAAAAGATATAATATTTAATATGAAATTTAAGCAATTTTCGAGATATTATTTTAAAAGATATAAAATATTTCTAATTCTACTCGCTATTTTATATATAAATTATCGTATTTTAAAAGTATCTTCTATAGAATAAACTAGCCTCGTTATAGAACTATAAGAATTATAAGATTTTATAAATAGATTATAAGAATATGAATTTTTAAAGAAAAGAAGTAAAAGTTAAAAAATTCTAAGTTTAAAAAATCTTATATCTTTTCGATTACTAGTTGAATTTTTCTAAGTTAAATCGAATTTTAGCTCTAGCTCTAAGTTAAATCGAACTCTAATCGCTTACTATACGTTTTTAGTTTACTTTTATTACTATAGATTTAATAAAGAAGATAAAAGCCTTAATTCTAAATTAAATGAAATTTTATTTACTTTTTATGTAATATTTAATTAACTTCTTGTTAAGGAATCATTATGGTGTGACTCATATATGTGTGTGGTGTGAAAGATGTTGATTATCTATGTGGTCTGCAGGGCAGATATGTGCGGTGCCAAGCCTACGCTAGTGGCCCTATGAGTATCCCTGAGGTATCTCATGACAATTGCCCACAAAAAACAGAGAAATGCCATGTCCTCATGGCAAGAAGCATGCATGCATGTGTGCTTTTCGAAAACCCGGAAAGGAGTGGAGATGCTAGGCTAATTAGTGGTGTGTATTTCACGAAATCTTCTATCGAAATGAAAACTTTTGAATAACGAAATGACTGTCGGAGCAAGATATTGGACGGTTTCAATTCGTCTAAATATGTATCGTTCGATGTTCCTCATTGATCTTCCTCCTGCAGTGGCCCAATTGGCTGTGATCGACACAGTAGATCCTCCTCTTGTGTCGTCATTGCAGTGATGTACCACAATGTGATATTGCCTAGGCATGTGGAGACAGCAGGCCAAATTGTAGTGTTGTTCTCCGCTTGCTGAGTGGCGATTTGACGTGGGATCGTGGAGAGCATATGACGTGGGATCTTGGAGAGCTGAGCCGTGTTCTTGGTGCTGGGGGCCTTGTTGTCGCTTGGTTTCTCCGCAGTGTTCTCCGCATCCGCCTGTTGTAGTGACTCCTCCTCTTGCTCAACTGAGTGCTCTGGCTGAGTGGCTGACTGAGTGGCCAGCTGAGTGGTTGACTGAGTGACTGGCTGAGTAACATGCTTGATGCTTGGCTGAGTTGTTGACTGAGTGGCTAGCTGAGTGGCTGTCTGCTTGGCTTGTAAGGCTGCCTTTTGTCTAGCCCATTCTTGACGTATGTAAGCCGCTCGGGCTTGAAAGATTTTGGCCTGCTGTTGGTAGAATTGGCAGTCTTCCTCGGTGACGAAATAGGACGGTTTTTTGCCTCTTTCTAAGCAGTATTGAACTGTTGCGTCATACTCCCATGGGTAGCACTCTCTTGTATGAAATGGCCCATAGTGCTCGGTGCGGTACTGCTCATGTAGGGTCTGTAGAAGCTCTGTCATTGCGATATCGATAGGCCTAGCGAAAGGATCGATTTGGATGGTGTTAAAAGGTACTCGATGACTGCGAGTGTGTTGGAGGTCCGGCTTGGAGCGTCACACTATTAGGTGTTGATGTGGGCTTTGCGTAAACGTCTGATGACGTCTGGATATCCTATGAAGTAGGGCTAGGTGTTGCTACCAATTGTTAAGGAATCATTATGGTTTGACTCATATATGTGTGTGGTGTAAAAGATGTTGATTATCTATGTGGTCTGCAGGGCAGATATGTGCGGTGCCAAGCCTACGCTAGTGGCCCTATGAGTATCCCTGAGGCATCTCATGATACTTCTATTACTATAGATCGCTAATTAATTATATTTTTATCTAAAAAACATTTACTTAATAATCTTATTTTTAATATATCTCGTTAATCGAGTAAATTATCTTTTTAATAAATCGTTTAAGATTATAATTAATAGATTAATCTTATTAATATTTAAATTAAAAAATTTATATAGTTAATTATAAATAAAGATTTTAAAATATAGATATAAATTAATCTACTATAATAATTAACTTTAAAACTTATTAATTATTATATTAAAAACTATTTAGATTAGAAATTAATTATATTAAAAGAAAATATTTAAATTATTTAAATTAGATAAAGTTAGAGAAATATATAATATTATTTATTATTTATTATTATATTTATTTTTAAGAATATAATAATCGAGTATTTTAGATTTAATATATTTAATTTATAAATTTATTTTATTATATAAATTTATATACTACTCTAAATTTCTTAATAATATTACTATATAATTTTATTTTAAATTTAAATAGTAGAGTAAAAGTATAATTATTTTAAAAATATTTATTATTTTAATAAGTAGAAGAAAGCTATATTTCTTATTAATAACTTAATTTATTATTATTATAAATAATTTTAGCTTTTAAAAAACTTATTAAGAATTTAATTATTAAATTAAATAATATTCTTATTAAAAATATAAAAAATTACTTTAAATATATAAAAGTGAATTATTTAATATAAATTAAAATTATTATAAATAATATTAATTAATTAAGTAATAAAATTATTTACTAGTTAGCTGTCATGGTTTCAACCGACATTCCTTCTCCAGACTTACGCTAGGCTCCATTCGGGCTAGCTCCTTGGCGGCTTGGCACTCTAATAACTCCGGCACACATGTTACTTAGCAACCTTCATAGTTAATATTCCATTCATATAACACCACTAATATCATTATTCGATACACGGTTCATTCCCTGACATAATATTAACTATCCAACATAGCCGTGAGCTAAGCTATTGTTGCCTGCCTGCTCCTGCCTGCCTGCCTGCCCTGCCCTGCGGAGATCTCTCGAATATCGACTACTCAATCGCCTTGTTGTGGAGGAGATATCCGGACGATTCCCTGCCTGCCTACCTGCCTGCCTGCCTGCCTGCCCTGCCTGCCTGCCTGCCTGCCTACCCTGCCTCTGCGGGGATCTCTCGAATATCGACTACTCAATCGCCTTGTTGTGGAGGAGATATTCGGACGATTCCCTGCCTGCCTGCCTACCCTGCCTCTGCGGGGAGATATTTCGACTATCTCTCGCTTGCCTTACCTGTTACCTGCCTGCATCAGTGGAGAGATCTCCACCTGATCCGTTATGGACTCGGATCAAGAAGAAACCCGTCCTGAATCATTGACGATTCAGTATTATCAGGCCTAGATTCGTGGCCTTAACACTACTATTTAGAATCTCAATATAACCATAATACGACTTCGAGAGTTACGGGACCTTCATCGTTCTAATGCAAAGACTCTTACTGCTATAAACACGGAATTATAGGCTAAAATTTAGGCCTTAACTATTAAAGAAGAAACGGTTACTTTAATAGAGTCTCTGAATTTCGATGTGGATGAATAATCAATTAAATTAAAAGTTACTAAGACTGAAATATCTATTTCTACTATCCTTATTATCGGGAATAATAAGAAATACCCTAATATACTCTACTTCTATAGTGAAAAAGAGAAGTAAAACAAGTAGCGATTTCATCTGAACTTCAAGTTTCGATAAAGTATCGTATTATTTTTTAGTGAAAAAGATAAAATAAACTATATTCGGGACTACTATAAGTTAATTATATTCGATATACTTAAGGTATAAGTAGATTCACTAAGCGAGGATCTCTATAATATTATGAAAGAGATGATTTTAGAGCTTTATAGTATATTTAATAATTACGATAAGCTGATAAAGAATAACGCCTTACTCTATAACCCGGCGTTTACTATAAAAAAGAAGAAGGCATTTAACGAGTTCTATGCTCGATTTTCAGCTATTATTACGCTATTGGGCTATAGTGAAAGTTATAAGATCGCTGTACTACGAAGACTTATTACTCTTAAGCTTCGGTTATGAATCGTTGGTATCTTATCGTCTTTTTTTCGCTTAGTTATTAAGTATTTGCGGAAGACTGATTAAGACCTTTATTAATTAAAGGCTATATATATAAATGTGAAAGAGATTAATGAATAGAAGTTTAAATTAGATCTATTACTCTATTCGGAATAGCTAAAGAATCAGCTAAAGAAAGAAGATCGATATTTTAAATGCCTTGGCTATAGCTATCGGCCTAATTAGACTAAGACATGTATGGCCTTAAAGGCATTGTCGTTTGAAGAGGTAAAGGCTATTATGGCTAAGGAAAAGGCTATAGAGAAGGCTATGGAGAAGCAATGACGGCATAGGCCTTGCCTATAGTAGCAGCAATGGATTTCTCCTCCTTCCTCTGACTAGCAATAACCGTTCCGCCTAGCCGCATACGTAAATCAATTTCGATTCGACTCTTAGCACCCCACATTATTACTTTAAGCACCTTCCCGGGCTATTGCCTTATATTGATACCTCTGTTACCTGCGTCCGCAGGCCTGCTATATGAGATTTGGCTTAATGCCACGGTCGGATACTAAGAGTGTTTGCGAGAAAAAGTTTAAAGTTGTTGTTTCAGGGGGTAGTAAATATACTTTAGACTATAAAGGCCAGTGTATCATGGATTATGACGATCGTCTCGCTGTTGCCACCTCGCCGTTATCATGATTTGGACTATAGGGATATAGCTATTTGAGAGGGGGGGTAATGTTATGGTTTTAACCGGCATTTCTTCTCTAGACTTATACTAGGCTTTATTCGGGCTAGCTCCTTGGCGGCTTGGCACTCTAATAACTTCGATATATATATTACTTAGCAACCTTTATAGTTAATATTTTATTTATATAACACCACTAATATCATTATTCGATATACGATTTATTCTCTAACATTAGCTAATAGATTAATTAATAGCTTTTTATTCTCTAAAGCTTATTAAAATATTATCTTTTATATTTAATAATCTTTAAAAAAAAGATTTATATTAATTTAATTTAAATTAATTAAATTCAAATTTTAAAACTTTATATTTTCTATAAGTTTTAAAATTTAGATATTATTTTAAAGATAGAATATCTCTAATATAGCTTAAGCGATATAATTTAATTTAATATTTTTAATAATTATAAGAATTTAATAAAAGTTATTATAAGAGTATATAAATATATTATTAAAAGAAGTAAAATTCTTTTAAATTCTTTAAAATATATAAGTAACGATTTTAATATCGTAGCGATTTAATATAAAGCTCTTATTTTAGAAAATAAACTTAATTACGATTAATAACTAAGTTAAATTAAAGTCTATTAATATATTATAATTAAATTAAATAATAATATTAAAAAAAATCTTAAAGTAAAAATAAGTACTAATATTATTTTAACGAAAAATAAAAGTAATATTAGATAAAGCTATAATAATAACTATTTTAAAATTATATTATACTCTTTATAATATAATATTCTAAAAAAAAGTTAATTATTAAAATAAAAGATTATATTCTAAATAGCGTTAATTATAATAATTTAACTACTATTTAAAATTTATTTATTTCTACTTTTAAATATTAGTTTAATAGCTATATTCTTTATATAAAAATTAATTTTAATTATTAATATAATATTATTATAATCTCGCTAAATTACGAATAAATTAAAATTAATAATAAGATTAATATTCTTTATAATCTCGCTAAATTACGAATAAGTTAAAATTAATAATAAGATTAATATTCTTTATAAAGTTAAACTTTTTTAAGTAAATTTAAATTAAATAAAAATAGAAGTCTTTAATAATAATTTATTTATATTATATATTATTTAATAAAGAAAGAATATAGTATTAAGTTTAAAGAATATAAATAAAATTATTAAATAATTTAAATAAGAGCGAATATATATTAGTTAAGAAATATACGTAAAGTATAAAAGAAAAATCGAATTATTTATAAGTAAAAAGAGAAAATATATATCTAGCGCGAAAACTTTTAATAGCTAAAAAAAGAATATTATCATAAAAAAATAATAATATTTTAAAACTTTTACTAGCGCGATAATCTTTTTATTCTATAACTTAAAATACTTTAATTTATTAAGAAAATTATTAAAAAAAAAACGTTTAACGCGAAAATTTTTAATATATAAAAAAAAATATTATATTAAAAAAAGTATAATAATTAATTATTATCGTTAGCGCGATAAGCTATTTATATTATAATTTAAAGTATTTCTATTTAATAAAGAAGAAACTATCTATATATCTTAGTTTATAATTATTTTATAGTTTTAGAGAATTATTAAGATTATATTATAATAGAATTATTATAAAGAAACTTTATAAGTAATATTCTTTTTATTAAATCGCTATTTATTTAATACTTAATCTTTTTTAATATTATTATAAAGTAAATCTCTTATTATATAAATACTATAATAGAAAAAAAGAATATTATTATTTATTATATATAAGTTTTTAAATAATATAGAGTTTAATATATTTAGAAAAAGATATTATAAATAAA